TCACATATGGCCATCGAGGCAAACCAACATTCCGACCCTGAAAATAGCATTCATGGTGGTACTCGATCTGCAACTCGAAATACCCAAAATGCTGAGAAAAACGGAATCAGCTTGCGTATGATTTTCAAAATGTTGCAAGCTCAACAAGTAGCAATAGACCAGTTGCATAGCCAAACCCAAGCACCGACAGGCTCGAGCCCAGTCCACCCCAAGAAGTCACCTACAAAATGGGGCCAGCTGTAGTAAGGTCAAATGAGCAAGAATCGGGAACTAATCCCAAAATTGTTAAGATACTCGAGGAACTGACAAAACGAATAGAGTCAGGAGAAAGGAGTATTTAAGCAAATGACAAAAAGGTAGAAATGTATAACTCCAGGGTTGATCAGATCTCGGGGGAACCACCGATATTGAAATGCTTGGATTCTAAAAAATTCGTACAAAAGCCCCCCCTCCCCAGAGCGTAGCTCCGAAACCGATCCCCAAGAAGTTCTGCATGCTTGAAATTCCTAAATATAATGGAACGACCGACCCCAACGAACACGTTACCTCTTACACATATGCCATTAAAGGGAATGATCTAGAAGACGACGAGATCAAATCTGCATTATTGAAAAAAATCGATGAAACCCTATCAATATGGTATTATAATTTATCGTCTAACTCTATCGATTCTTTTGCTATGCTTGCAGATTCTTTCGTAAAAGCACACGCTGAAGCCATAAAAGTTGAGACCAGGAAGTCAGACCTTTTTAAGGTAAGACAAAAAGATAACGAGATGCTAAGAGAATTCGTATCTCGTTTCCAAATGGAACGGATGGATCTACCGCCAGTCACAGACGATTGGGTTGTTCAAACTTTCACTCAAGGTCTAAACTAACGAAGCTCGATGGCTTCACGATGGTTGAATCAGAACCTGATAGAGTACCTAGCTGTTACCTGGGCCGATGTACATAATCGGTATCAATCGAACATCAGAGTTAAAGATGACCAGTTGGGTTCTGGGTCCATTATTAAAAGGGACATCGACAGAGAACCAAGGTCGAACAAGGACCGATATCGGCCGTATAGCGGAGATCGCAGGGGCAACGAACCTACACGTAACTCCGTACGAGGCGAAAGGAGAAGTGATCGAGGCCAAGGGTCTCGAGGGTTGATGAACAAGAATGGGTTCGATAGGCATATCTGACCTAAGGAAGCACCACAGTTATCAGAATATAACTTCAACATCGATGTATCCGCCACCGTGTCGGCTATCGGACGCATCAAATATACTAATGGGCTCGACCTCTGCAGTCTGATCCAGCCCAGAGAAATCCCAATCAAATGTGCAAATATCATGGCACCCATGGCCACAGAACCGAAGACCGCGTGCAGTTAAGAGAGGAGGTAGCCCGTTTATTCAATTAGGGGCACCTTCAAGAATTTTTAAGTGACCGGGCCAAAAAGTATTTCAAAAATAGAGATTACAATAGACAAAACGAACAAGAAGAGCCACAACACATCATCCACATGATTATCGGAGGGATCGATTTCCCCTAGGGACCGGTGCTTAAACGCACTAAGACGTCTATTGTAAGAGAAAAGCGATCTCGGGCTCAGGATTACACACTTAAAGGAACCTTGTCCTTTAGTAACGAATACGCGGAAGGAATCATGCAACCGCATAACGATGCACTGGTAATATCTGTACTTATGAATAAAACTCAAGGTAAACGTGTGTTAATTGATCCAGGTAGTTCGGCCAACATCATTCGATCAAGGGTCGTAGAACAACTCGGTCTACAGGACCAGGTTGTACCCGCTACCCTGGTACTGAACGAGTTTAATATGGTATGTGAAACTACTAAGGGCGAGATAATCTTTCCAGTAAACGTGGCCGGGATCATCCAAGAAATAAAGTTCCACGTAATCGAGGGCGATATGAGATATAACGCCCTGTTCGGGAGGCCATGGATCCATAATATGAGAGCAGTGCCCTCGACCCTTCACCAGATTCTGAAATTCCCAATATCGAAGGGAATCAAAATGGTCTATGGGGAGCAACCAGCCGTAAAATAAATGTTTGTCGTCGATGAAGTGATTCCGATATCCTCACTATCATCGACAAAGGGATCAGATTCGAAGGAGGAACAAGATACCAAATAGCAATCACAAATATCAGACTCGACCTAACTAGAGAGTTAGAAGACTGACAAAGACGATGACTTTGGGTCCCTCGATCTTTTGTGATCCCCGATGATTCCGACGCCACCCAATCAACGGTCGAAGAACTAGAGCAAATCACGCTAATCGAATATCTACCCGAGCGAAAGGTATACCTTGGCACGGGGTTAGATCCCGAGCTTAGGAAAAAGCTTATTCAACTTCTTATAGCTAACATGAACTGTTTCACTTGGTCCTATCTTGACATAACAAGGATCCCACCTGGAATAGCCATTCATAGACTGAGCTTGGATCTAAAATTCCATCCGGTAAAGCAAAGAAGAAGGCCCCAGTCCGAGGTCAAACATGCCTTCATCAAAGACAAGGTAACTAAACTTCTTAAAATAGGATCCATTCGAGAAGTAAAATACCCCGAATGGCTAGCAAATGTGGTGGTAGTCCCTATAAAAGGAAAAACTTAGAATGAGCATAGATTATAAAGACCTGAACAAAGCATGCCCTAAGGATTCTTTTCCGTTGCCTAGCATCGATCGTATGATCGATGCCACGGCCGGCCACGAGACTCTCTATTTTCTCGATGCCTACTCTGGGTGCAACCAGATACAGATGAACCCGGAGGATCAGGAAAAGACCTCGTTTATCACTAAGTACAGTACCTACTATTATAACGTAATGCTATTTGGTCTAAAAAATATTGGTGCAACTTATCAATGCCTAGTAAATCGAATGTTTGAAAAACAACTAGGAAAATCAATGGAAGTTTATATTGATGACATGCTAATTAAGTCCCTACGAGCAGAGGACCATTTAAAGCATTTGCAGGAAACTTTCGACGTACTAAAAAAGTACAATATGAAGCTCAACCCCAAAAAATGTGCATTCGGGGTTGGCTCGGGCAAGTTTCTTGGTTTCATGGTGTCCAATCGAGGAACCGAGATCAACCCCAATAAAATCAAAGCTATCGAGGACATCACAATAGTCGATAATGTAAAGGTCGTGCAAAGGTTAATGGGGAGAATAGCCGGCCTGCGACGATTCATTTCGAGATCATCAGATATAAGCCACCGATTTTTCTCACTGTTTAAGAAGAAAAATAACTTTGCATGGACTCCGGAATACCAGCAGGCTTTGGAAGAACTGAAGCGGTATTTATCGAGCCCTCCGTTGCTTAATACCCCAAAAGCGGACGAGCAGCTTTACATGTACTTAGCTGTATCAGAGATAGCGGTAAGTGGAGTTCTGGTTCGAGAAGAATGAGGTACGCAATTCCCTGTTTATTATGTCAGTCAGACCTTAGGCGAGGCCGAAACTAGATATCCACACTTAGAAACATTAGCGTTTGCTTTAATAAGCGCCTCTAGAAAATTAAAACCATATTTTCAATCCCATCCGATACATATTATAACAACTTTTCCTCTTCGAAATATTTTGTGCAAACCCGAGCTTTTGGGTCGATTGGCCAAATGGGCCATAGAAATCGGTGGGTACGATATCGCGTATCGACCCCGAACCGCTATCAAATCTCAAATCTTGGCGGATTTTGTGGCTGACTTTTCACTAGCCCTCGTGCCCCAGATTGAAAGAGAGCTACTTATAAAATCGGGTACCTCTTCGGGAGCCTGGACCCTTTTCGCGGATGGTGCCTCGAACGCAAAGGGGTCCGGATTAGGCATTGTACTAAAGTCACACACATGTAATGTAATTAGACAGTCTATCAGAACTACAAAATTGACTAACAATGAGGCCGAGTATGAGGCCATGATTGCAGGACTCAAACTAGCTAGAAGCTTGGGAGCTAAGATCATAGAGGCTAAGTGTGATTCCCTCCTCGTGGTAAACCAAGTTAACGGGACTTTTGAAGTCCGAGAAAATCGAATGCAAAGATACTTGAATAAATTACAAGTGAATCTACATCAATTTAAAGAATGGACTTTGCAACATGTACCCCGAGAACAGAACATCGAGGTCGACGCTCTTGCGAACTTAGGTTCATCAGTCGAAGATGACGAACTCAACTCGGGGACTTACTTTTATGCAGTCAATATTCGATATATTTCTACTTACTTTTCCGATTTATACCAAGTTATACCAAGTATCCTTAGAACTATGTATAAATTCAACTCTATCTGTTTTTCGAATAAACATATCCAAGGGACTGGAACCCAAGGCTCTTCTTAGTCTAACATGATTGTTATAACCTCAGCGGGCTGCTCATTAGATTTTGATGGAATTCAGTGACAATCCACTCCTTAGGTCCAAGGTGCCTTCCAATGGCAATGAGGGTTCTGGAGTTCACACTGATGAGCCGGTGAACATACCTAATTTGCCACTTCATTACTTAAAAGGGGGTATTAGACTCACTTTGAATACAAATCATAGGGGTAAATAGTTGTTTGTGAAATTTAGGTATGCAATTGTTTTTCAGGAAAACTTTAAAGGATAAAATATGTATTTTTTTCATTATTACTAAGTAGTATATCTATTATTGGTTTGATTTAATTTTTTCTAATTTAATATCGAAGCAAATATAATATTATTGATTTATAAACTCTAATGTATCAAATTTAATCCGCTAAGATTTATTTTTCGATTTAGTTTAATTTTAGTTCTTTTTCAACATTGACACCATAGGAAAGGAGTGTACTAGAATTATTTGACCCTTAATTAAAAGTTTGGCTCTTAGAAAATGAAGAAACACGCCACGCAAAATAGTTTGCCAATGAGTTAATGATTAAACAAAAAAAAAGTCATTAGTAGACTGTAGACACCTATTTTATCTTTTTTTTCCCCAATAAAAATACAAAAGAGCAAACGAAGCAATAAATTTGAACCAAATGCAAACGAATAAATTCATTCCATATGCAAATTTGTAAATACTCCAAAAGTGAAACCTCAGTTCTAAACTTCAGCACCGCCCTCCCTAAATTTATCTTCACCGTCACAACGTCGCCGGCGGAACCCTAGAAACGGCCCGAACGTTTTCTCCGACGAGTTAATTGGTAAAAAATGCTGAATCTCTCAATTCTCTTTCACTCTTATCGTTTTCTCAAACAGCTTATGTCAATTTCGTACTTTCAGTTTCACTGTGGCCAAGTATAACAGTCGAAATATCTGTCCTCCTAAAATTAAAGTTCATTATTTTTAGCTGCTGTATAACTATAGAGCATTAAATAATTTTTAATAAAGTTCTTCCTTTTAACTTTTTACGCTTCAGCTGAAATTTGTTTTCTTGGTTTTGTGCTTTTGCAAGCCTAGGCTAGCTTCATATTACATATAGAGTACTTACGAAGTGCATCACTGCTTCGTAATGTAATTAAAAAAAAATAAAGAAAAGAAGAAGAAGGTATTAAGTAATGACCCGAAAAATATGATAGGGTCTTAAGGGTTGGGGCGAGAAGGTATTAAAATTTACTGCCTACATTGGTGGAGAGTAGTTTGAATGCAAAATGCTCAGACTGAAAAATGTCGAAGCAATGAACGATTTTTCTTAACTTCAAGGCTCCGGTATAAAGATACCTTTTCTTGAAAAATTATTTAAAAAATGCTATTCATATTTGCAAAAACAACATTTCCTTATTTTTTCTGATATTTCTACAATGGAGTAGTTCAATGAATTAGAACGAATCAACTGGTTGATGTCTATATCTTTTAGACTATAGTTAATGGATACTCTTAAATCATAATTCAAATATGTGCGGCTGCTCACCACTAGGGTTCGCGCTTGGTACTTTCGTTTCTCTGATTCAGGTATCGCTGTTTGATATTAATGTGTCTTACTGATCAAATAAGAGAATAACATGTACGAGGTTCGAAAATCACTACCAATGTGGCTCTGTGGAGTTTGATTGATTATGTTTGCATTCATGGATTGGATTCAGGCCTTATCAAATTGAGTCTACTAGTTGGCAATGTTCCTAACGTAGCTCATACATCCTCTGTACTCTTATCATTCTTTCCTGAAATTAGTGTCTGTTACTAAAAAAATGCAGATATGTCAATGAAGTTGACACCTTCCAAGCGGCCGCATGTTTGGAGCCTTGCAGAATCAAATGGCCGAGGGAAGTGGCAGAAATCAGCATCTATTAGTTCCCAGAAATCACCTCCGAAAGTTCGTATACTATGCCCTGCTTCTAAGATAGATTCCTTTATCGGAGAGGATAGTAGCATCATTTCTCGGATACAAGAGGAAACTGGTGCAGAGGTTCGAGTTGAGGATAGTGTTGTTGGTTGTGATGAGAGGGTGATAGTTATTGTAGGTTCAGGAAAAGAAGATGAAGTGGGAACCGAACAGCTCCAGGCTGATGTTGAGGTAACTGAAACTAAAGAAAAGGACAGTTGCACTGATGAAAATGGTGATAAGCGTGAGAATAAGGTGTCCCCTCCAGCAGAAAGCTCCAAAACTGAGAAGGAGACGCTATCTATTCAGAAAGCTCTATTCTTGGTATTTGATAGGATGATTGAAGGAAGAGTAGGAATGGATGGAGGAGATGAAGAGGGTGACAATTCTTCCTCATTAATTATAAGATTGCTTATACTCTCCAGTCAAGTGGGATGTTTGTTAGGAAAAGCTGGTAGTGTGATAAAGCAGATGTCTTCTGAAAGTGGGGCACAGATACAGGTTCTTCCCAAGGACAAACGACCTTCTTGTGCGTCTTCATCTGAAGAATTGGTTCAGGTATATTTGTTGATATTTATTCATTCATTTTGCGTAAGCATTAGTCAATATGATCTGCTCAGCTTAGTCATTAGCTATCGTCAATGTAATCATCTATACTTCTGAGTTGAATTCGTAATTCAACGCTGTTTTTGTGTGTGCATGCATGTCACCATGTTTTGAAAGGTCTGTACCTTAATATTGATATAACAGTAGTTTCTATGTTAGGAGGTGCTCTGATGAACTTTGGTGTCAAAGAATGGCCCCTGTCTCTATACAATTCGAATTGAATACTCTTCATACTTTTTGAGTTCATGGTGAATACTGCTTCATCACTATCTCATTGCCTGCCTCACGTTTCATAGAGTTGATCATGTGAACAGTGTCTGGTGGTTTATGAAGTACTCTATTAGCCAAATTTTGTCATATACACCAGAAATCTGAAAAGATTCCTTACTGTTATGTTGCAGATTTCTGGGGAGCGTGAGGCAGTTAAAAAAGCTCTTGAAGTCGTTGCTCGGCAATTACTTGAGAATTCCTCTTGGGATCAGGATTTTCTCTCTGCTGATGCTGGTGGTCCATCTTCTCAGTCTCCTGGCCATCCTCTGTCTAACCAGGAATTGCATCCACCATCAGCACGTCCTTACCGTGGGCAGGGGCCACCGTCCTCTGTTGGATCTCGTGATGGGGAAGTTGGTATACCTGGCCGAATGAACCCTATTCCTGATGCCTTGACTTTCAGATTACTTTGTCCGGATGAAAAAGTTGGAGGTATAATTGGAAAGGGAGGAAGTATAATCAAAGCACTTCAGCATGAGACTGGGTGTCAGATCAAAGTTCTGGAAGGTGCAGGGGATTCTGAAGATCGAGTTATTNTTCTTCTTTTCCTCTTCTAAATCGTGCTGCTTAGTTGTTCTATAAACTAACCTTTGCAAAATAAAAGGCTAAGGTCATTCTATTTATGCAGCACCCAGATGATAGGATATCTTTGCCGCAAGATGCTGTCCTTCGCATTCAATCCCGAATTTGTCGGGCTGCACCTGAGAACAAGGACAATGGCATGGTTGCAAAACTTTTGGTGTTCTCAAATCAAATTGGATGCCTCTTGGGTAAAGGTGGCGGTATAATAGCTGAAATGAGGAAGTCAACTGGAGCCTATATTCGTATCGTAGGCAAGGATCAAACCCCAAAGTTTGCGTCAGAAAATGAAGAAGTAGTTCAGGTGTTTTTCTCTTTTTATGATTTGAGTGATGTTACTAAAAATAAAAATTAGCAATTCTTTTCTGCATCTCACTGGCTTGCCATTTTGTTACTTTTTAATTTTCTCTTTTTTTGGTTTATCGCTGGCTTGACATTTATTACTTTTTACATCTCTTTTTGGTTTAGTGTGATATCTATAGCAACATTTGTTTGGTTTAAGATAAGCCTAATTCCTAGATCTTGACTTGCTTTTTGCTTTTCTTTTTGGTTGCTCAGGTAAATGGAGACTTTGAAAAAGTTTGTGAAGCCCTTCTGCAGATTACCACCAGATTGCAGAATCATTACTTTCGTGATGCATTTCCTTCAAACCCTGGTTTCCTGGACCAAATAACTCCATTCCCTTCACACATGGGAAGAAGAGAGTTTTCACCTCCAGGCATGTTCTCTAACATTCGTCCATCATTTCACAAGTTTGATGCTGTTGGTGTCCTACCTCCACATGGTGGTTTCCATCCACATGATGATCGTCCTCCCTTTATGCAAAATTTCCGTAGGCCAGGCATTCCACCTCATATATCTGATAGAATGCCATCTTCAGCACCATGGGGTTCTCAGGTAGGCATTTGTTTGCAGTTAATTCTAGCATTCGAGTTTCTTGTGACTATTAAAATGGGAGTTGGTTGATTTTTATATCTAGGCTGCTCCACCTAATGTACTTATAACCACGTGCTTGTTGCTTTCACTATGTAATTTAAAGCGAGCGTCAGAATTGTCCTAGAGCACGTCTCTTTCTGCTGGGAAAAAAGTTCTGATCCAATAAATGATAAATATCATAGAAATATTAATTTTCTGAACTGTATTGCAGGGACTGGGTGAAGGTGGGGGCTTCCCAGACTATGCGGGAGGTCCTCGAAGTATTGGCGGATTTGGAGGGTCAGTACATTCTTGATCATAACCAAACTCTTTCTTTCATTGTCCTTTTTTCTTCTTCATGTTCTACAGTTCATTTATGAACTGCTATTTCTATTATATAGTGATGATATATGTACGTCTTGGTTAAACGTGAATTTCATTAATATAGAGGAAGTCATCCAGCTGTGATCACAAGCACTACTGTCGAAGTAGTTGTACCTCGATCTGTCGTTCCTGCAATCTATGGAGAAGGTGGGGGATGTCTTCGACAAATATGTGAGGTATGATCTCTGGATTGTATAGCATTACACCTTTTTTTCTTCTTTTATATTCCGCCTTTTATTTCTGATTGATCTTTACCTAAGGCCATGCCCAATAAGAAAGATATATGATCTCCCTCTTTATGCATAAATGTGTATATATGATAGTAAATGTTATCTCCCTCTTTTGGTACATATTTCTATCTTCTTGGTTACTATTAGTTTTCTTTGTTCTTAATGTTTTACTGTTCTAGATTTCCGCTTGTCTTTCTCCACATGTTTTGCTTATGTGTTTTTCACCATGTTCTGCTTTTAAATATTAGCATATCAATATACTTGGTCTTATTTATGCGAAGTACGGATTTAGCATTGTATAAAAACATTTTCATTTTTGACACTTTGACTAATTATTTTCTAGATTTCTGATGCAAAAGTCACCATAAATGATCCCAAGCCTGGAGCAACAGAGACTGTTATCATTATATCTGGGACGCCTGAGCAGACTAATGCTGCTCAAAGTCTCATCCAAGCCTTTGTAATGGTCGAGACTGAAGCTGCTTGATTAGTGGCAGTGAGGTAATTTTGTCGATCTTGTGGACTTCAAATTTGTTTTCAGAAGCTGTGTGAATGCAGAATAGTTAGTTATGCTCCCTGGAGAGCAGTCCGGATGCTCCCTTTTTTATACTTTTGCCAATGTGAATTCAAAAAACGTTGTTAACTTATTCCAGAAGACTTATTGTTATGGCGTTCTGCACAGTGCTGAAGCTGGAGTTTGCGGTGACGGCTACTGGAAGATATGGTTTAGCAGTTTTACAAGCTGCAAACTTTGACAAAAGAAAAATGGAAAAAATGCATGTTAGAGTATCAGAAGTATTGCCAGTTGGCTAACAGATTCGGATTCTGTGGTGGTAAAGTTTTCACAGAACATATAGGGTTTTTAACATATTCGTTTGGAGACTTTTGCAAATTGCCCTGTTTCTTTGTCCTACAAATATGATGGAGCCATTAGTAGTGTGTTGGCCTCGTCTCAATTTGATATCTTGGGGATTTATTCCTTCACAAAGTGTAGCTTGAAGACTTCAATTTTGGTTTTATCTCAATGCATTAATGAAAACTGAAAGCAGTCTAATGAGAAGATAGATAACGACAAGGATAAAGACTAATATTTTTCCTCGGCAGGCCTGCAAAGTAAGAGACATATGTCTAACTTCCTTATAGTGAAAGATTTATTACCTAATTCCAGTTCAGTTTTTATTGTTTCTTATGCTGCATTAATACCAGAGACTGAGGTCATTCATTGACTTCTTAGTATGAGTCTGCTTATTCTTGAAATTAGTTGATGCTTCTGCTTCTTTTCCATTTCTATCCCGTTTGATACTGTAAACATTAAGAATAGAATATGTGCTGCTATATAGCTAGTTTGAGATACCCAACAATACCAATTGAAATGTGCAATAGTGCAGGGTGGCACTTTCAGAAAAGAAAAAAAAGAGCTATACAAAGCCTAACTTACATAGAGTTGTCTACTTCATAAAGTATTCCAGGCTAGAGGGAAATAAGTAAGAGCTGCAGGGGAGGAGAGGAGTGGAGAGGAGAGGAGAGGAGGGAGTTTCCTCCCAATTCCACGTAAACTGAGTTGTGTGATTCATTATTGTCTCTGTTCCCATCTCTGCCTGCAATTTTATGTATGCGTTTAGAAAATAGGTAAAAGATCTGATCTGGCATACCCACGTTGAACCCCATTAGTATACGTATTGATAAATGCGGCCATGTAACATAGCTTGCAAAAGCAAATGCGAATCAAGACTTCCAAAAAATAAAAATAAAAATTGAAGTACAAGAAGCCAAAGGAAATATTCTGAAAAGCCCTCTCTTTGCTTAGGCGCACGATAGTGGTGAATACTAACGTACGCCCTTGCCGGAATGGCTAGGGGCCGGGTGAGGAAGGCCGCGAACAAGGTCGAACTATTGAATGTGAAGATGACCAAAGCGAATCGACGATTTGTTGAGCAAGACGAGGTAGGGCACAAGGAGGGGGTGTAGGGGAGAAATGAGTTCTCAAATCAACCCAGCAAAATTGGTGGCTGCCCAGAAGCCTACACCACCTCCTCAGGAAGCTCCGCTACTCAATTTGCCCAGCGACACACCAAGGGACCAAGTGATTCAACATGTAACTCCATGGCCAGCACTGCCAAGTCGAAATTCCATAGCCAAAACTCCAGAATTGAGGATGAAGGTAAGACTTGAAACAAAAGCAATGAAACCAAATGACGAGAAGAAAGGGGAAAACCTAGAAGGGGGGACCCAAGGTGCGCAATGATGATTAGAATTGGGTCACGAGGAAAGGGATAAACAACCATGGGTGAATTTATTTGAAGGCAACAAATATGCATCCAGAAGAATGAATTTGAGCTACATCGCACCTACAATTCAAGACGGAATCAAAATTATGGAACTAGAAAAAGAGGAGGTTGATGCAGAGATGGAAAATGGAGGGCAGTCATATTCTATGTTGTGGGTGACTCCCCCACAATTGGGGCAGTGGAAAGATTCATAGCAAGTCAATGGAAGATAGCAGAGAAACCAAGGGTACATTATCACAATGATGGCTACTTTCTCATCCATTTCCACAGTATGGAGGACCGGAATAGAGCCATGTCATCGACCCCAAATATCATTAGCAACAAGCCAATAATTGTGAGGGAATGGACAACGGATTTCAATTTCAAGGAAGAAATGCAAAGCACACTGCCATTGTGGGTAAGATTCCCTAACCTACCAATGAATTATTGGGGTGTCAAGTCCTTAAGCAGAATTGCTAGCAATCTTGGTGTGCCTATCTATGCAGACGATTGCACTACCAGAATTAATAGGATTTCCTACGCAAGAGTGCTCATAGAGATAGATATCACAAAAGAACTCTCGGATAAGATAGTAGTAAGGAATCCAAATGGAAAGAGTTTTGAACAGGAAGTGACCTATGATTGAAGACCAGTATACTGCAATACTTGTCTACAACTGGGGCACACATGCCAGGAGAAGGAGAAGTATGAACAAGCAAATGAGAAGCCCAAACAAGTGAGGAGGAATATCCCCAAATTCAGACAGGAATGACTAGCAAAAGGGGTAACACATGATGAGAAAAAGAAAGGAATAATGGAAGCAACAAAGAAACCAAATGAAGAAACAAGAAAGCATATGAGTATGAAGGCAAGTGACAAAAATATGAATGAAGGATGGATAGAAGTGAGGGGAAAATCAGCAGGCAAGAGTCAAGCAATGATGAGTCTGAATGAAAACATGCAAACCAGAAATGGATTTGATCCACTGGAAGCAAGTGACCAGCAGCTGATTGCACAACCAAACTTAACAATAGAAGTGGGACAGTGTAGTGTGAGCAGAAAGGAGATACATCAACAACCTTCCATTGTACGATGAAATTAATCACATGGAACGTTAGAGGGTTGAATAAGTTGTATAAGCAGAATGAGTTAAAGTAGTTTTTAAAGGTAAATAATGTAGGTATTATTGCAATAGTGGAGCACAAAGTAGTAAAGGAGAATGCTAAAAGAATTATAAATAAAATAGCCCCCCCAGTGGGGTTGGTTCCATAATTATGGCACAGCCACAAAAGGAAGGATTTAGATTTTATGGGATACAAACAAGTTAAGTTTACAGTAGACTATACACATACACAACTAATACATGGATAGGTATGCGTATGAGACACAAACATGAAATTTAGCTTTACAACTATATATGGTCTGCATACAGTAGGTGATAGGAAAAGTTTATGGCATGAATTAAGACAACTACATACTGTGCAACATGGACCATGAGTTGCAATGAGAGATTTTAATGCTGTGTTGACAGAAGAAGATAGAATCAATGGGGCTCCAATACATGAAAATGAGACTGTTGACTTTAAAGAGTTTATCCAAGACTACAATATGGCTGAACTAAGAAGTGTTTGGGCACAATTCACTTGGTCAAATAATACAGTAAGTACCAGGATATATAGAGGGGTGGGGAATGCAGAGTGGATGCTTGATTACCCACTACAGGATATAGTAATCATGGCTCCATATTTCTCACACCATGCTCCATTGGCAATCCAATTAATGGGGCAACAAAACAAAAGTTATAGACCATTCAGGGTTTTTAACTTCATTGCAGAGCATGCATAGTTTCAACAGAGTGTGGAGAAATGATGGGGAGATCACATGAAGAATATATGGGGCAAACTGAAGAAGGTCAAGCAGGAGATCAAAAAGATCAACACAATGCAATACTCAAGAATAAGGGATAAGATAAAGAGCCGCAGACAACAATTAATGATAGTGCAAGAGGATCTAAGGATACAAGGCAACTCCAATGAACTCAAACAGGCAGAGAAAATGATCAGAGAGAAGCTGGAGAAATGGGTACTAATTGAAGAAAGTGTGGCAAAGCAAAAATCTAGGAATCAGTGGCTGCAACTAGGGGACAACTATACATCCTACTTCTTTGCAACCATGAAAAGCAGAATGACACAAAATAAGATCAGAACCCTGGTGGATGATCGAGGTAATCTGATAGAAGGGGACAATGATATACATGATCAAATACTTGGGGTACTACAAACAACTCTTAGGAGAAGCTGCTACTGCACTACCTGCAATCAATCCACAAGTCATGAAAGATGGCCAATGCTTGACTAGGAAATTGCAGTTAAAACTAATTGCACCAGTATCAGAATTGGAGGTAAGGAATTCGCTCAATGATATAGATGACAACAAGGCTACAGGATGTGACAAATTTAATGATGTATTTTTCAAGAAATCCTGGAATGCCATAGGAAAGGAGATAACAGAGGCAGTGATACAATTCTTTGATATGAGGAGAATGTATCTACCTATTAATTGCACCACATTCACTCTAATACCCAAGGTCAAGAACCCATCTACTGTCAAACAATTCAGATCCATTTCTTATTGCACTATAGTGTATAAACTGATATCAAAGATCTTAACCAAGAGGCTACAAGGAGTTATGAACTGCCTAGTTGATCAGAATCAAGCAGCCTTTGTCCCAGGTAGAGTGATCTCTGATAACATTATAATTAACCACGAGCTAGTTAAGGGATATAGTAGGAAAGGAGTTTTTCCGAGGTGTATGGTGAAAGTAGACATGCAGAAGGCATATGGCTCATTAGAATGGCCTTTCCTGGAACAAGTACTTAGTGCTCTGAACTTCCCAGGACTTTTCATAGAGTGGATAATGACATGTGTTAAAACTGTGTCTTACTTGATCATTATAAATGGGAAACCTTGTGCACCATTTCTAACCAAGAAGGGTCTAAGACAGGGGGACCCAATGTCCCCCTTCTTGTTTGTGATTGCCATGGAGTACCTAATCAAGAAACTTAAAACTCTATAGGGAAATCCAGATTTTAATTTCCACCCAAAATGTGCAAAGATGCAGATTATACAATTGAGCTTTGCTGATAATTTGTTCCTTTTCAGCAGAGGATATGTGGGATCAATACGACTGTTCATGGATTGTTTCAATGAATTCTCAAGATGTTTTGGTATGATAGCAAATAAAGATAAAAGTTCCATTTACTTTGGAGGTGTCAGTAGAGAAATGCAAGGGGAGATACTAGCAACATCTGGATTTGCCAAAGGGGAATTGCCAATCAGATATCTTCGAGTCTCGTTGAGCTCTAAACGAATTTCAATAGTACAATGCCAACCACTGCTAGAGAAGATGATAGAGATGATTACTTCATGGACTGCAAAATTCCTGTCATATGCTGGACGACTTATGTTGATAAAGAATGTACTCTTCTCAATTCAAGTCTTCTGGTCACAAATCTTTGTGCTATCAAAGAAAATTGTTAAGGTGATAAAAGCAACATGCAGAAGTTTTCTATGGACAAGCACAACTGAGATATCAAGAAGAGCACTACTAGCATGGGAGAAAGTATGTTGGCTGAGGACAGCTGGAGGATTTAATGTACTGCATCTGGAGACCTAGAACAAGGCTGCTGTGATTAAACTACTGTGGAATCTATGCACAAAGAAAGATAAGATGTGGGTAAGGTGGGTCCATATATACTATGGGAAAGGAAGGAATATTTGGAAAGTTCAAGTCAACCAAGCTTCCTGGGTTCTAAACAAGATACCAAAAGCTAAAACATATCTGTCAATGGCTGGCTTGTGCATCACTGACCTGCTGAAAATGAATTCATACTCCATAACAGTGATGTACCATCCGTTGAGAGAAGACTATCCTAAAATGTCATGGGGGGAAACTAACTTGTAACAACTTTGCTGTACCTAGGTGGGGTTTTATACTAAACCTAGCACTACAATCAAGGTTACATACCAAAGACAAGGTAGCAGGATGGGGATTGATGATTGATCAAACATGTGAGTTTTGTAAGGAAGAAAATGACACCATGCAACATCTATTTTTTGAATGCAAGGTGATGGAGAGGTTTGGAAAAGATTATTGAAATGGCAGGGGATTCAAAGACCAGTAATGACATGGGATGATGAAGTGGAATGGACAACAAAGGAAATAAAGGGGAAAACAACGAAGGCAGAAGTATATAGAAACGAAGGCAGAAGTATATAGAATGACATTAGCAGGCTGCATCTACTATATATGGACAAAGAGGAACTCAAGAATATTCAAGGATAAGTCTCAGCATGTAGAGGGGATACTTAGATCATTAGTTCAGGGCATCGATCTTTCAGAGAAGCAACAAGAAAACTAAGATAAAATGTAGATTGAGAGGGCTTAATAGTTATCCATATGTGTAAGAGATATAAATATAGTGAGGAAGACAAGATGATCCTTGCAGTTGGGGCTTCATGTCCAACTTGCAGGCAATAACTCTCAGTTTTTTCAGTTTTTCAGTTTTGAACTTTGTACATATTTGATACTTGGTAAAAAAAATTCTTTAAATTACCCAAAAAAAAAAAAAAAAGACTTCCAAAACATAGTTCGCTGCATTAGTTGATTTTTCACCTAGAATGAATTCTTATTCTTGATGACCGCACTTATCTAGGAACAAGCAATGTTTTTTAGATTGTTAGGGTGTTCATATATTCATCTTGCCTGCTTTGATCGATAATATACCTCTGATTTGTTATTCAGTGATCAGTCATATTGAGATACAAGTAGCATTAGATGTAGATGAAGTTGGCTCTTTTAAGCAAGGCTTAGATCATTTTCAGTAGTGATGAGAAATGAGTCAAAAGTCAGGTTGCAGGTAGATTTTGCGCTAGAAGTGGTGCAGTCAAGAAGCTTTACGCCATGTAGAGTTTGTAAAAAAGTGTACTGTATAAAATTTGTAAGAATAACATACAGCCAATCAGTTTGGATTACACTTCTTATTGAAAATATTACATATTTAATTTGAACAGTTCTGAAAACTTATTGTTGAGTTGAGAAAGGCTTGTAATGCTTGAGAGAGGTGACAAGACCCTGGATAGATCCAGCAGCTGCAACAAGTGATACAATCAGGCAAGTCCAGCTTAGAATTTTCAGCCATACCCATGTGAAAGAATACTTTGGTATCTTTTTCTGGGCAATGTGCATCTCTATTGGGAAGTAGACAGTTAATGGATAGAACGATGCTGCCCCGATCAAACCCAAGAAGTCATTGAAGAAGGGGAATATCATGGCAATCACGGCTGTCACTACAACATATGCTGTTCTCCACACCAACCTGAACAAGTTGACGTTGTAAACGCCACAGCATGGAACTTGCACAGCGTATTCGGAGGTGATGAATTTGCTGTCTGACCATCGCTCGTTGCAACGAACCTCCACAAATCCATATAAAGGTTGGCAGAAAACCTAAGTCATGACATTCATTTGTTATTGTTAAATTATTGTCTTGTGTATTTAAGTAGAGGGAACAGGTTTTTTGAGAATGTGGTATAGAAATTTCACCTGGTAAGCTCCAATAAGGTGGACGGCAATACAAACGTTGGCAAAGTCAATTAGCCAAAATGGTTCGTAGAAACCAAAACCAGTAAGGAAATTTCCAGGAGCATCATTTCCAAAGGCTGCATAACCAATGGTACCACATAGAATATAGAATAAAGTTGTGGTGGAAACTCCAGCTAGTGAGGCTCTCTTCATAACCTTGCTTTCTGGAGGTTGTGATCTCAACGTGTCCTGCAATTACAGAGCTGATTCAGTACTGATTTCTAAATAGTATATACAACAATGTCTAAATATTGTTGAAAGGTTGCGAAATTAATATTGGACCTTAGTAGGTTCAAGCTTTTGGATTCAGTATACCCGGTGTACTTAGCCCCTGCTATGCGCGGGGTCGGGGGAAGGGCCGGACCGTAAGGGTCTATTGTACGCAATCTTACGCTGCATTTCAGTTTCCTCGGCTAGAATTTGTGACCTCCCGATCACATGACGGCAATTTTAAGCTTTTGAATTAAGTATAGTATATTTAAATTGTAGCCACTCAAGTGTAGAAATGAGTCACATGCAGAGGCGGATCCAGGATTTGAAGTTTATGAGTTCCTATTGTAATTTTAAATTAATATACAATAATAACTGGGTTCATAATTATATATTTATAGATATTTAATGAATTTTTTAATAAAAATACAGGGACTTCGCAAAAGTTACTGGATTCCTGTCCAGGAACCCAGCCCCTGGTCATATGCCTATGACAACCTCTTCTAAAGCTCTCCATATAGTCATAATTAGAGAGGTAATTTTGGTCTTTCTCCGCGAAAAAAATAAAAAATGAAAGACATAAACCCCTAACTGACAGCCCCCAACCGGGCTTGGGTTCTGGCCTTATTTTGTACTAGTGAATTTATGAATTTAAATACTTTTAACATTGAATTCTTTTTCGTAAATTCAACCTGACTTGTACTTGGAATAAAGAAAAAGAGAATTCAACAACATTCAAGCACCTTTTTATTTTTATTTTTCGCTTAGTTGTACTCGACAGACGCTAAAACCAAAGCGTGATGATGGCAAGAATATATTATTGTCATGTTAGAACTTAGAAGTAGAAATATCTATTATTGCCTGTTCCTCTTTATCATCCCCTCCTTTTTGGTTCTTTCTAACTCGTCAGTGGAGTAATTGTTGCAAAACTTGTACGCAATTAATGAAGGTAATATACATTTATCTAGTAATAATATATCATAGTTGTTCTGTCAAAGTCATAACCACAAAAGTGTTTGATCATACAAGCTCAAAGTAATCAAGGAAATGTTCAATGCTATTCAGAATCGGTATGCGTAACAGTCTAAAAGCTTAATTAGAAAATATTCCAAATTATTTGTCGTATATGGTTTTAATATAATGAAGAGAGGAATGTGGACCAGTGGAATTAATTCTGGTACGTTGTATTACATCATATCATAAGAAAATAAAAGATGTGACAGTAGGAAAAATTTGTCGCAATCATGACGAGATAATGCACCAAAAAAGGATGGTTGTTATGAAAAGATAAGAAGTGTGAGAGTGGGCTTTCACTTCTTTTATGAAAAAGGCCTAAAGAATCAGCGACCCAAAGTCGTCGTCCATCAATTTTCTGGTCCAAAAGGACTAATATACTTTCCATATATTATGCTGCACCTAACAGGAAACTTTAGGACAAAAATGAAATAACCTACTAAGTGAAAGTGTGAAACGATATTTAATATTTTTAGCCATACCCATGTGGAAAAAAACAACGCTCGTGAGTATTGTTGTGGCTCTTAGTTAAAGAAAAAGATAAACAATTGATGGGTTTTAACGCTAATGTCGCTAGACCATTTTCAAATGAAGTGGACCACTTATGAGTAACATATCTTGATATTTGTGAATCTTAATACTATATTTAATTATTTATATATTATAATGGCGGAGCCACCTTAGGTGAAACCGTAATCGGAAAATTATATTATTAAGTTAGGTCAAAAAATTATTTATAAAAATACATATTTATATGTTGAAATATAAATATTTTGATATTGATAGTTTGGACCGTGTTAATTCCTAATGCTACAAAACCGTACACGTGGCTGACAAAATATAGTCTGCACATTGATTACTGAACAGTAGTATAAAATAGATTTGTCGATGTATACACGAGTACATCTAAAGATAGATATTAGGTACGTCATATAATATTATAATGTAAGGCTTCATTAATTCAGGCACGCATTTCAACTGTGAACCTCGGTTTTTTTGTTGGGATGAGAATAAATATAGTCTGCTACTTACTTTTGACAAAGACTATTATAGAAAAAAATACGAAAACTTTAATGGATATAAGCGTATTTTTGAGTTTTTTTTCGCTATATTTTAAAGTGAAGAGGTTAGAAGTAGTGTGTTTTGGTAAGACGGAAAATAAGTTGTTTTTCGGTGCTTGTTGTCAGAAAATATTCTTTAAGAAAAACATTTTCCAATAAATAGGCAAAATGGTCGTCACTTTTGGATGATAATTATTCTGTCCCGGTTATTTCAATTCTTATCATCATATCACAACTTTTGTCTGTATATATTTAATTTTTAATGCTTAAAAATTTCTTTTTACCGACATCCGAGTTATTAATGTTTATTACTACTAATTTATCCTATTTTAAAAACATTTTCTACTTTTCGATATCATTTTCAAATAACTCATTTATAAAAATTATATTCTAGCATGCCAAATAAACGGGCCACCCTTATCCTGGTAGTAAAGGTTGGGTGGGGCATGTGCATTTATTACACCAAAAACATGCAGACAAAGATCATATAACCCTACGACGTAATAAATAAAAAAGATCATATGAAGGAATCAGAATCAGTGTGCAGTATACTTGCCTGTATTTCGATTAGAACGGTGGAATAAGCATAAGCAAATGCAATATCTCCTATGGCTTGGAAGCTTTTCCATATTTTCTCTGATCCAGACACATCCACCCCTACTGTCGTCCCTGTTAGACTTGTCTTTACATGGTGCCCTACACCTATAAATCATATAATTGCAGACAATTAGTGTCTTATATGGACCACAAAGTACAAAATTCCAAAGAAGAGAAAAAAGGCAAGTTAGTGCATAAACTATCTCGCTTTCACGCAGAATTTAGGAGGGTCACACCTCTATGACCAATCTATCATCATGTAAGTATTAGTGACTGATTACACAAATAAAAAAGTAAAAGAAAAATAGAGTACCAGCAGCTTTGGCAATGGAGAGTCCAAGACCAATAGAAGCGTAAGTAAAAGACATAACAGCAGCAAGAATTGATAGCCATGAGAGCTTGTGGAAGTTTGGTATTTGGCTTAGAACTATTTGAATTACTGCAAATATAATCATATATGGGTAGCTCGATATTGAGCAGCTGGCTTCATGCCCATGTTTGTGAAAACAATTTGACCTCTTTACCGCCCTGGAATTGACACAAAGTTATTAGTAACAACTAGGGAAAAATAAAAATAAAACTATGAACATCATTGGTTATATTTAATTTTAATCATGAGAATATATATTTAATATAGTACTAATGTCGTTGTCATAAAATCAGATTAATTAGTCAAAGTATTGACAAAAAGGTCGTAATATTTTCTTTAAAAATAGTAAGACTTTTGTACTTACACCATACTGATAGATGCTGTAATAGTGTATCCAATGGTAACTCCGACGAGGTTAGCATACTGCGCCAATCCACACAGTGTTACCTTCACACCTCCTGTTTTAAAAAAAAAAAATCAAGAAAAGGCCAAAATCCCATTAATAATTGAAGCATTTCTTGCATAAATGCAGTCCATGTTTCAATTGATTTTAATTTAGAAAAACCCCATCTTGGAAATATATAGATTACTCTTCCTTCCAGTCCATAATTCACAATTTTCTTTCTAACTCAACAAACAAAGTAGTTAATTGTAGCTTAATTTTCCAAGTCTAGCTAGCAAAGCCTAAATTTTTGTTCTTTTGTCAAAGTAATACAGCCAGACGCACGCCAGTTATTAGAGTTGGAGAAAATCATGGAAAAAGAGCAAAGAAAAACAGAGCATTAACGACTTCTGTATTTAACTGTAATATTAATACAATACCTAAGTGGGAGCGAACAACATCCATGTAAGTGTAGTTTCTCTTGCCGGAGACAGGGCCAGGAGAACGGTAAGAATCGGCAAGAAGCGTAGAAGTGAAGTAAGTAATGAAAGAAAAAGCAAAGAGAACAGCAGGACCAGCCACCCATCCTAACTGAGCTATAGCCCATGCTAAAGAAAGCACTCCTGAACCAATAACAGCAGTGATAATATGTGCACTTGCCGTTAGCAACGTCCCTGAAATTTTTTTAGAAAACATGAATTTTATCTAGAGTTTAAGTTCTATGCAATTGATTTGTAACAACCGGTAATTGTTCGTACCAGTTCTTTTCTCACGTCCATCATCGTCAAAGTTTTTTTGAACATCTCCACTTTCGAGTTCTGTTGATACGTACATGGTGTTCTTCTGAAATTCGGGTGCCATTTTTAGTGTCTTCCTCTTCCAAGTGTGTGTGTGTGTTTGTGACTTTGTGTTATGGAGTTATAAGGTGTATGAATGGTTAAAGAAGATGGGGTATATAAGAGAACTGTAAAGAGGGGACAATGATTAAAAAATTGAGGGTCAAAGGCCAAAAGTCTTTGGAGCCAAGAATAGTGGGAGGTTTTCAAAAAGCTAACTACTTAGTGATTTTGGGAAATCTTTACCTAAAATACAAGTAGTATCAAATTTGGGTGTAATGATATGAGTTTTAGGTCAAGAATGGTGGTGTTTATTTTGCACCCTCGAATGTGCTTATATATTATGCCGATCTTGTATCATTTCCAAGTTCCTCCCCCCACCCCACACCCCCTCCAATAAGAAAAAGGGTCCCCACAATTTGCCTTTTGCATTTGGTCCTAACCATTGAAAATGAAACATTTGTGCTGTACCATTCATTGAAAACTTTGAACAACATTTTGCAAAATAAGAAATGAGTTTTAAGTTATATACGTGGATAAAGAATTATTATACTATTTGTAACATATATTTTATCTTATTTTCGAGATTATAAATTTTATATTTAAAAAGACTTATCTATATAGTACATTTTTTGAATAGTAATATAATTCTTTTTCGTATTGATAATGTATATAACTTAAACTAATATGAAATTATAAGAAAGAGGGAGGAGAGATCTTAAGTTGACTCACGAGTCTTTACCTTTTTTAGGTCATTTTGTATTCTTTGATGAATTTGGTCGGTTTCTTTTACAAATTTTGAATTGCCATGACAAAGAGGAAGACATCAATATCCTTCCTAGTTAGTTCCTTAAAGACATCATAGTATAGGTTACGTGGCCTTCTAAAATTTCCCTCTCCTAACACTACACCACCTTCTACCACATATTTTATTAGTGATGTTCAATACCTCTCTTTAGTTAAAAAGTTTTTAACACTTATATATACGGACAACGTAATTTTATGCAATCAATATATTTTAACTTATTATAATAGATAATTTTTTTTATGTTACTAATCTCATGTAGCTATACACCCGTGTATACCCTAGCCCTATTCATAGATATATTGTTCATGTCAAGACTCTCTTTTACCATCATATAATATTAGGATGAAGATATATAGGCAAACTCTTCTTTGTTATGGACGAGAATGTGGAGAAAAATGATTTCTTTTTAGTTAAGCCTTTTGCGCTAATTCTGGGAATAAACATTGGCCCTCCAAAATGGACTTAACTTTTCATTAGACAAAGGTAGTTTTTGGTGCATGCACAAAGATAAAGATGAAACCATTTTGGAATTTTCAGTGGCTTAATTATTATATTCCAACTTATCTTAAATTAGCACTAAAAGGGAATTTTAAGCATGTTTCTAATTCATCTTCTTGCAAGAATTTGGGACCAAAGAATACGGATAAACCTTTTAAAAGATAGTCTATGAACACGACCGCACTAAGAGTTTTGGATTCCATTAGTCATCCGTTCAAAATAATACAGAATGGTATTTTGAACACACAAAGAAGAAACGAAATGAAAGAAGAATTTTATTCCTACAATGGTCCCTAATCTCTGTGATTAATGTCCAGTTGTACATCCACTTTAATTTGTTCCAAAGATTTACCGGTTTCATTTATTTTGACGAAACAGAATATACGTACAGATATTTTAAAACCTGCATAACTTTTTTTGATTTTTATTTACTTATTTTTGTGAAGTATAGTCAGAAGTTGAATCCCAGACCGAACAATGCCAGTTCGACAATTTATAAGACACCACAAATTATTTGATTGATGATCATGATAAAGAATTAGAATCCTTTGAAACTCTTATATATTTTATTCACAATGATTGCTTGCTTTGATAAATGCTAACTAAATATTCGAAAATAAGAATATTATGCAAGCCAATGGAATGCTTAGTCCAAATGCAGTGAGGTGGCTTGAAAGGTTGAGACTAAATGGTACGTAGAGAAAAATATTAGCTTTGATGCTAAAATAATTAGCAGATTCTGATGTTTTTTACTTCAATACTACACAAGAGGGTTAATTTGTGTGGTGTCCAATTTTTTGCATGCACAGATTATAGAAGAATATGGTTCTTCTGTGTGTTCCTTATACTACTGTTGCAGAATAGTAAATGCGGGAAGTAAAGAACACAAGTATTTTACGTGGAAAACACTTGGCTCAAAAGGTGAAAAAACTACAACCTACTACTCAGTAGGATTTTTCCCAACACTTCACTAAATCACTGAGCCAAAACAACATTTACAAAACTCTTTGTAAATCTAAGGATTACCTCTAATCCCTTTGTGGCACCCAACCTCTAGCTGTTGCGACAACTTCAAGTTAACTCTAACTTGAATATAACACTCAGAGTACCTTGTACAATTGCTTCTAGATAAAGCTGAAAGTTATCATTTGAAACACTTACTACAATGAAACTAGAGTAAAAGATATACACTTAGAACTGGTTCTTCTATCTGGTTCATGTACCTTCAGGTTCGAACACTTGAATCACACAAGAATTGTTTGCAAAATGCGTTGCTATTTTGCTCTCAACTCACGGTTTAACTTCAGCGTATGTGCATCCCTATAAAATGAGAACATCCTGCAATTTATATAGTAGAATAGGAAATAACTAGAGTTCTAATGCTATACTCTTCCTTGGTGGAAGAGTTCTAGTTATCTTCAACTTCTAACTCCTCCCTTATCTATGATATAGTTCTCTCGAGTAAGGAGTCCTTCTCCTGATCAATTATGCAACCTTTTCATTCATGAGATATAAGATATAACTACTTAAGCTTATCTCCTTTACGTGAATGCCTTGTATCCGAATTCTGCCCGTGTTTGTGTACACTATATATGGACCTAGTTCATGCTTGAATTCCTTTGTCAATCATCAAAACAAACTTCACTTGGGCCAACAAATTTCCCCCTTTTGATGATGACAAACTATGTGCTTTTCATAAGCATAAGCCATGTTTCAACTCAGCTCAACATCAACGCAATGTTAGAACACTTTCCATTTTAAAGTCACAAATCATCAAGGACCAGGTTCATTGGGTTATAAACACCACAGTCCAAAGTAAAAAAACACAACCTATCTTTCCCCTTTTGGCATCATCAAAAAGTTGTATAATTATGTTAGATAACCAGATTTTACTAGATATTACTCATGGCCACTGAGGCTACTTCAAATACAATCATGCAGTCAAGCATCATATATCAATCTAATGATATTAGATATCTAAGATGCATCAACAAACAATTAGAGCACAAAAATAGTTGATTAACATTGATACTAGTCATCTACAAAGCATAAAGAAAAATGAAGATACTGAATCATGAGCAAAAAGAACAAAACGAAATCTCATTCGGGTCACTGGTTTGTCTAACTAGGTTAGGAAGGTTTCAAGGCTGGGAAGGACCAGGTTTTTGGTTTCTGGCCTAAAGTAGCTTTAATATATCATGAAGAATTCCTTCATTCTTCTTATTTGCAAGCTCAGCCCTAAGAGCATCCCTCTGAATTTATACTTCAACCAGCTCTTCTTCAGCCTCTCAATCTCAACATCCTTAGCACCACTCTCTTGTACTAATGCTCGCACTTTACTGTTCACAGGTACCTTCTTGGATGAACCAGGTTCTTTGGGAGTAGTGTGGACTTCATAGTCACATGCAGTCAAAATAGTTACCCCAAAGTGATCCTTGCTATGACCAACTTCCTATTTCTTGAGGGGTACCTTGAAGTGAGCAAGTACAACCATGAGAATGAAACCATAGGGTATGTCATGAGTTTTGGTACCAGTTAGAACCCTATCAAGAAGCTGGATGATAAACCCAGGCCAATTGATTTGCCTCCCACTATCCAGATATTCCATAAGGACCAGGTCCATGAATGTGGCAATGTGCTTTCTTTCCTGCCTGGGCTGCACAACCTTGTTAACAAATTCAAATAGCACTTTATGGGGTGGCTTCATCTCACTTTTGTATATAGCCTTGGCCTCTAGCTCTAACTCATTGTCAGCAAACTTCCTTGTAATGGCAAGGGAGGTAGGGAGGTTTTCTAGGCTTGGCCATTTGAGCTTTTTGTAATCATTGTACCCTTCAACAGGTACACCCAAAATCTCTCCCAATTCTTTATCGTCGAAACTCACAGTCACTCCCTTCACTATACTGGTAACTCTGCTATTTTTGATCTCACAATCTGCCATGAATTCTACAATCTCAGTTCTGGCAAGCTTTCCATCCATATGAACGACCATGTCCTTCCAATCCTGCAGTTGTAGTTTTTCCAGCATCATCATCATGCCTTTCTCCTCCAAGTCCTTTAGGAGTCTACTTTTCAAGATGGTTCGTTTCCCAAACTTAACCATCTTGTCCTTCTCTGCATCAGATTCTTCTTCTTCTTCTTCTTCTTCTTCTTCTTCTTCTTCTTCTTCACTCTTTTTTTCCTCCAATGCTTTCACTTTTCTATACTTCACGACAAACCTGGTTCTTTTAGCCAAGGTAGAAGGTTCTGCAGACTTTGTTTTCGAAGGAGACTTCTTTTTGGAAGTCTTGATTTTCTTTGCTTTTGGAGTCACAACCTCCACCTCTTCCGCCTCCTCTTCATCATGAAGGACCAGGTCCATCTCCTCAATTTCAACTACCTCAACAGGTTCAACCACTTTCTTCTTTCCCTTTGCACCAGCTTTTCTTTTACTCTCTTCTAGGGCTTTTTCCAGTTGTGCCTCACTCTGCTTCTTTTGACTCCTTGTAGCTCTTTCTCTTGTAGGAGTAGTCTCTACAGGAATAGAAGAGGCAGCCTTTCTCTTCTTGTTTGCCCTATCAGTTCTAGGATTTTTAACTCCTGAACTCTTCTTCCTTTTTGGATTATAGCTGTCAGACACACGCTTCAGTAGATCTTCGAGGGCTTACCCCTTTTATCTCAATCTTTCTTCTTCTCCAACAGATTCCTCACTCCATACTACCATAGCTCATATTTCTTCAGTCAAACCAACAGGAGTGGGTAAAGATTCAACCCTTTTCCCATTCCCCTCACATCGCCTTGAGCACCCTCACTCTCTTTTTCTTTTTTCTTTTTATTTTTATCATCCAATCTCCTAGACTCAGTTGCTTCAACCCCAGCCATAGTTCCTACCAAAACAAACTATTTTTTCCAGATTTTCAGCAACCTCAGAGATAGTCTCAGATGTATATTTTGGACCAGATGTTACCTGCTATGTTTCAGATGAAAAAGTTTATCCCCCCTCAGTTGCAGACTTGAAAGA